GAGCGAGTTCCAACTGAGTACTTCGGTTTACAGTACACACATTGTAATATTTCAGCTCGCACGTACTTACTTACTGAACTATTGCATATTATATTTGTTTATTATCATTGCCGTGTATCTTCAATGATAATTATTTATTGTTTTTGTGTAAGTTATTTTATAATAAAGTAGTAACAATGATTGTGCCAATTAATTGCACTTACGCATACCGACATATATTCAGCCATGCACGTTTTTCAATTCTTAGCTGCTCTACCTAATGTGGTTTTAATGACAATCAATACTTTCCACTCTTACTTTCTCTGCCGTTACATACATTGTACTACAGTTTTTATCCTGATATCTCTTCAAGGGCAGGTGCCGCAAGTCTAATAGAAAGGCACTATTACAGAGATTATTAAGCGTGTAGATTTTGAGCTCTCGCAAAAAGAATTATTTAGAAAAGTATATCTGTACCGTTACATACTCGAATCCAAATTGCGTCAATTTAACCAAGCCTATTTGAAATGAAATTATACATATATATAATCGTCAAAATAATGTACAAAGGATATTAGTGATCCCTACTAACTGTTAGTTTGTGAACAAGGGGAACGTAATGGTACTCCGTATTTTTAAAGCGCCATAAAATGGATTCCGTTTAGGGAAATTAATTATGGTACAAGCTATGTATTTCATTTTTTAGTCAAGCAAGGTAAAGATAGTCAAGGAGTGTCTGTTCTCACTATAACAGAAGTATCAAGCTAATTCATCATCAGACTCGTTTGAGTGCTTGGTCATAGCGGATTGGCTGGCAACTGCAAAACCGATGAGTTACCCAGAGAGGCCACGTTTGACCCGCTCACATCAGATTGGCATCAAGTCAGATGCCATTGGTATCTTGCGTTCTAGCACTGGACCAGTGGAACTCGCTGTCGGTTAGCAAGTAACCGACGTATGTGTGACTGAACACTTACCTTTAGCATATTTCATCATGCCGCAATCGTTTCAATTTTAACTGCACAAAAGACATTAATGCGATAAAGTTAAAAATGTAGACGGACACAAGTTACTAAAGTTGTACGGAGGAGAGTGGGGTGAAAAGATCTAGGCTCTTTTTTCTCCATTGTCTATACTTAGCAAAACTGAGGACAGATCTTTATCGATCCAGGAGACATAGACGAAACTAGCATTAATCGTCTCACCAAATTTGTGTTAAGCGCAAAGCGCTTTGTTGACTTATATTGGTCTTATGATCTACAGCGGACCGGCATTCTAAGACGGCTAAGTGAGAACCCTGTTAGGATCAACTGGATATCATAACTTATAATGCGGACGGGATTAAGGAAATAAATTTACTTTTCTTAATATCACTCCAAAACCAAAATTCTCTTTTCTTTCTAAACTTCTCAAAGATATCATATAAATGTCATAAATAATATTCCATGTTCCTACTATTTGGGAACGGGCGTACTCTACTTAGATTGTGCTCTGCCTGTTTCCACTTTTTATGGCAACGTAATTTGTACATTGCATATTACAAGAGAGCCATGATCTAACATCTCTAAAATATGTATTATACAAGTAGTATATAACATTTGCATTTTAGCTTTATCCTTGTGAATCAAGTCTCTGGGCATTGTTGTCATTACATCCGACTTTTTCCAAAAGATAATGTTATTATGTTGTGGGATTCAAGACAGGTAGCTGTCACATTTTCGACTTTTCGAACATCTTCTTTATTGGCCTAAACTCCGCCTACGTGGTTAAAGCCGAGTTTACAACAGCTCGCCAGTCGTTCTTTCTTTTCGCTGTTTGGTGCCAATTGAAGATTACAAGTATAGCCAGGACTTTCTCTCCTGGTTTTTCCAACGGAGTGGAGGTCTTCCCGTTTGCATGCATCCCCCGGCGAGTGTTGCGTCGAATACTCTCAGAGCTGAAGTGTTTTCACCCATTCGGGCTGTTCCTTAGTTTGCTGGGGATTCGCATAGGATCATAAACCTTCCGCAGCACGTTTCTCTCCGAAACTCGTAACACCGACTCACCATGACGATATGTGACTTTTGGGATTTAGTATTTGTTTTCCGAGACAGCAATACCGGAGCCGGTTGTTTACTATTCTGACCAAACTTGCAGATGTACAAATTTGGAAGCAATTCTATAAAGCTTACAATGTTATTATTAAATTACGTTTATTAAGTGTGTAAATCCTCTTAAAATATCTTAATTTTTTTATATTTTACTCTATAGTAATTAAGATAAGTTCAGTTGGTAATAATAAAATAAATAATTTTCTTAACATAAATATCCAATCTGTAAGTGACTATCTTCTTGCTTTGTTTCTGATAAAAGCGATAAAATTGGTTTCCATGACACTCACTACATATTTTAGCATATCGCTTCCAATTGTGATTCCGACTACTATCGGATTTTAAACACTTACAGTTTAATATTTTGTGCCTTTAATCGGCCACTTAGGGACTATTATTACATTATTTTTATTAATGAGCATTTCCCGTATAAGATTTATAATGTTCAACTGGAGGTAAATTAAAAGTCCTTTTAGTTTGAAAATGCATTTGAAGGTTAATGAATTTCAAGGGTGTTATCTTATAAGTAAAAATACGCATTATTTAGACTCTCCTCTCTTGAAAGGAACGTTCATAACATTAACAGAAACTATTTAACTAAAAACTATTTATTATAAATTTATTTAAAGATAATGTTTGAAATTTCTCTTGTTGATTGATAGCCCAAGTTATAGATATTCAGTCGCGCTTCCTGGTAACTATCACGTCCCGGATTTTTCGAACATTCTACCTAGAAACCAAATTTGTTTACTGAAAGTAAGGTTACTAAGGTTATTAAAATTTAGAAAAATTTTTAAAACCGGTACATTCATGCTTGTCAGATTAGGGTGGCAATTTTTTCAAAATTAAAGTTTTTATTTTATTACTTATTGACGGTTTAACGGGAGTATGAATTATTCATTATAATTATTTAAGTTTTCTTTTGAGCTTAGTCTTTTAGTGGTTCTGAACTTAATATACCCCCTTAATTTTTTCACACTGAGTTCCCTTGCTCCTATAGAGGATTGCCGGAAAATCCTACGCAAAAATTAATAAGAAATATCTAGTTGAACTTATTTGAAATAAAAAAAATTAATATTTATTTTAAAATTCAATATAATGAACTTAGGAATAATCACAAATTTTACTTCTTGAAAAACCTTTTCCGAAAAAATTAAAAATGTTGCTAAAACCCAAATTTCTTTGCTCATTACCTTTACTATCCTTAAAAGTGTCCCTCATAAGGTGTGTTTAAAATACACACTATAGTACAGTATTCACTAATTTGGTAATATTACTGTAGTGAAATGGGCCCACCCTAATTTATATACATACAGTTGAGGGTTATAGTTAAATTTGGACAACACTTAATTGCATTAAAACTGGAGCAAATACAAAGCAATAACACATGAGTAATGGAAATGTAACGTGATTAGCGCATATGAATATATCATAATTACGACGTAAACATCGTTAAGATGGTCTTCAAACTGTTGGTACGAACGCATGTTCCAATTTAATTGTAGTTGTTTTTAATTATAAAATGCTATTGTTGTGTGCGCCTTTACAACTGACGTCGGCACACTAAACCTATTACACAACTTCCTTTCGCAGTATTTGTTATATAACGTGCAAGACGCAAAAATTTATAGCGGCTATAAACCGAGCGACCGGCCCATGGCCAACGTAAAGGAGGCAAAACGGATGGTGAAAACAAGAAATTGAAACTGGTCGGACATTATTTCTTTACATCATCCGGAACCTATGGCAGGGCGATGGCGGTGATTGCGGGGAGGTGTCGAGGTCACTATGCAAACTACAAATTATAAAACTTTCTTTTCTTGCGGCGCAGCAAATTTCAAAATAACACAAGCGCAGATCGAAAACGACAACAACAACAAGAAAAAGACTTGAACTCGTAGTTTACAATAAGCGGGTTGGTGTTCAAGTGAAGAAGAGCACCAGCATCAACATCGGCTTCATCGACAGCAGAAGAGCAACCACACCTGTTTGTCAACGGAGGCGATGAACGTGACGATGTGTTTGTGGGCTTTGATAATTTGAAGTTCGATTATCTTGTCAATAGCTTCAACAAGCAAAGAGAGCAGATGCAAATGAGACCTAGGATGGTAACCACAGTCGGTGGGGTGTGTAGGGCCGTCAACACTTCGTGCTGCGCATGCATTCAGATTTACTTGAGTGCTGTCGGTAGTTAGAATCCAGTGGTTTAAGGAAGTGATGAAGATATGAGTCCGCCAAAATGGGAGCGAGAGAGAACATTGAGCAGCGGTGAGCGTGGGAGAGCGGTGTCGCAGATAAAAGCAGAAGCTAAGACCTTGGAGCAACATGACACACGAGTTACGGCGGCAGCGGCGTCTTTGCTGCTCTCTTATTTGCTTTCTTCGTGCATACTCCACAGTCAACATGAGCAATACACGCACGCGGAAGATAACACTTAAAGCTGAGCAATTACGCGTCCATACGTGGGTATCTGCGGCCGATTCAGCGCGGTTCTTAAAAATAGTGAGAGTAAGAGCACGGCCGACGCCAAAGCGGTCAATGAAGGTTTGCCGTTAGCTTTGCTACACCAGTGGGAGAGTGTCTTCCGCTGAGGGCTTTTTTGGGACATTGCTGCTCAACAACACTGCGATTGTTGTTGCCTTGCTGTGCGCACGATATTTCACTCGCTTTCGCGCTGGTGTCGCTTTGCTCACTACACGCGCCGGGCTGACTCTATGCTGCATGCATTGTTGTTGTATATGACCACGCCAATGCCAACTGCCATCGTTTTGACGGCGCTCAACTTCAGCTTACGGTACTCATCTCAGACTCTGCTGTCATTGTCGCTGCCGGCATGCATGTAGTTGTGTTTGTTTTTTGCATAATTTTAAGATTTTTGATGATTGTTTGGAACTGTTTAAAAACAGCCTGACATCGTCGAAAAATTATCAAACCGCAAGTTGTTCCATTCGAATAAACACACAGTGCAAACGGTGGTGTAGTAAAAATACAAAAATTACAAATTTTCAAACAATTTTCCTACTGTCCTGTTCGGCAATAACCAACAACTACAACAAAATGAATTTATATCTCACCGCCACCTGTATCCTGCTGCTGTCCGCTGGTGCTTTTGGCGATCCCATTAAGGATAATAATGTCGTCACACCGGCTAGTGGTTTTAATAAGTGCTTGGAAGCTGATTCTATCTCGTGCCTCCAACTAACGGTACGGAGTGTTAAAAATTGCATAAAAATTGAAAATGCCAAAAATTCAAAAATTCAAAAAGACAGTTATAAACACTTAATCGAAAGCAATTTTTGAAATTATTGATAAAGTTGAAAAAATATTAAAAATGAATGTGAAAATTCAACTAAAAGTGATTTCTGATTTATGCACATAATGAAGAACAACTCATAGAAAGCGTAACAAACCTGTGACAACATAATTCAAATTTCCCAAAGTCAAACTATTTTTTGATTTTCAAAAGAAAAATGTGTTAAATGAAAATGTTTGTATTTTAAAAGAAATGCCGTTAACATTTGTCCTACAATTCTGTCAATTGATTTGATAACAATTATTGCGGCACTAAACCATGTCTCAAATATAATTACATAAATATGAAAAGTGCAAGCTTCATAATCTTTTGAGTACTAATTCACAATTTTTCTAAGAATGCGAATAGATTTGATCAGAGAGCCTCTTAAAGGCTTTAGGAATGCTTAAAACATTGTTTGAAATTTTATAAAATACGATTTTTAAGAGACACCTTGAGGATGAAGTGAAAATAAATGCGTGAATTTTCTTCATCTAATGACAAGTTTATTAATAACTAAAATTCATTTTATAAAATTAATTGTTTTGGTTATTAGTTGTTCACTTCCCTGCACCGAATCGTTATCCAAAGTGTATTTCAAACCTTTTGCCCAATAACCAAAAATTTCATTTCGTCAATATGAATTTGACCATCACGCATGATAATTATTATTTTGACTACTCAATAACTAACGACTTTGTGATGCATTTTATTCCTTTGCATTATAAAAAAAGTGTTATTCTTTGGCAAATTTTAAACAATTTTCGATTATATTATCTATCAATTACTAAAGTTTCTGAACCTTAACATTCCTATAATCTTATTTAATAATATACTTTGTTTCTTATTTCTTCCAAACACTCTTCCCCGACCCCACAAACAGCTCTTCCGCAAAGCTAGATCATTCTTTGAAAATCCACAAATCGAGGTATTCGGCGGCGTCTCACTCATCAAATCCAACGAAGGACGTCAGGGTAAATCGCTCGATGACAATGCTGTGGCCGTGGAGGCTGCATCCAGCGTAGAGGCACGCACCAGCGAAATGGGCACCTATTTCATGAACCACGCTAAGAACTTCTTTGCCGAACGATCGTTGAACTTCAACTTTGCCAATGCCGCACGCTCGGTAGCACGTGCCATTCCCGATGATATCAAGGCTGATTTGCGTGAATTGGTTGTTGAGTCGCGTACCAAGAAGAAGAAGTTGTTGAAAAAATTCTTGCCAATCTTGTTGGGTGTCGGTGCTAAGGTCGCTGTTTTGGGTGTCGGTGCTATCTTCGGTCTGCTGTTCTTGGCCAAGAAGGCCCTCGTTGTGTCCGTCATTGCTTTCTTCTTGGCCTTGGCTGCTGGTGCCTCAAGTGGTCTGAGCCGTTTGGGTGGCGGCGGCGGCGGTGGTCTGCTCGGCGGTCTCGGCGGATTGTTCGGCGGCAAGAATTCCGGCAGCTCCAGCGGTAGCAGTGGTGGCTGGTCATCGGGCGCTTCCACAGGCGGCTGGTCATCCGGCGGCAACTCTGGCTGGGACTCTCATGGAGCGTACAGCTCGCCAGTTGCGCAAACAATCGCCTACTCTGGCTATAAGCAAGCCAGGCGGTAAGCACGTCGCATACAAGTTGAAGCGCAGCTTACTAGCATAAAAGCCTCTGCGCTGAAAAGCCAAAACAACACTTAGGGTAATGTAAACAAACAAACTACAAAATATAAACTACAAATCAACGAGATATAACCAATACACGCACAAAAATAATAATAACCCGCATGGGTTAGCTGTCGAGTCGATGACATTGCTCGGAAAGCATCACGAAACGAGCAATCCTGGCAGCGGCACACGAACTGCAACGAATTCATAACAAAGAACTTTATTTATTATTAATTTATTTTAATTTATTTATTATCGCATATATATATTTTGTCATGTATGTAAAGAAATGTAAAAGGACGAAAGACAATTGGAACAACTGAACCCAAAAACGAATCTTCATGTGCCTGAGGCAGTAAAGAGTTGGTCGGGAAGTGAGGGGATGGTGCATACCAACACATAATAATACATAACTGCATGTGAACTAACGTATCGCTCCAACTCACTTCATTCTTCATACTGCACTGACCTTCACACTGTTCCATCCATCTAGTTTCAAGATCTAATTTAATTATTAAGCGAAATATTGTTATGTACTTGCAACAATGAGAGTATTTGGTGTTTTTGTAATGCGTATTGCACAAGCTTATGCTTGCACCTTGTTGTTGCTGTTGTTGAGTTGCACTATTACATCACACAAAGCTCACATCGCGGAGGCTATTCACACACGGGCATATGCAAACAACTACATGTATTTGCAATAACGTGAAGACAAGGTGAACATGCAAACAACTCATGTCACTTCATCCATTGCAACCGAAACATATCAAGGCACACACATAACTCTTTCATTTGGCACAGACACATGAACGGACACCACGCATGTACCTACTAGTCAGCTGATTGTGCAACTTGCAACTAAAAAATAATGAAAAATTTAGCGAAATTAAATCATCACCACTTTTGCTTATCAACAATATTTTCTATTTGTCTTTTCTATCACTATTTTCCACCCTAATTTCACCTACTACTCTATTTACTTTTTCTATTTATTTTATTTTCCGCTCTTACCTCTAACTCTTTCCACTACTCTTTTGTCTTTTGTAATTATTTTCTTACTTTAACTATCACTTATCTCTTCTGTATCTACTATCGAGTTATTACGTTAACTTAAGAACTTTTTCTATAACTTTCGTATTCTATGTGTATCTCTATGTTATGTAAAGTCATGCACTGTGCTTAACATTTAATTCTATCGCATTATCGTTGTCTTCACTCTGTATTACATAATTCTATTTACCTCTTACTATCCTCTATCTATCTATCAACTGTTTACTGCCTGCTATTGAAAAAGACTACCACCAACTGATATCCTTAAAAAAAAACTACATATACAAACGAATGAATAATAATTCATGTGAAATTAAAAAAAAAACATATTTTCTTTTCTTTAAACAAATCTGAAACATTAACTCTTACCTTTCGATACAGTGAACATGCAAACTTAAAGAGAAAGTAATAAATACTAATTAGTATCCCACGTACTTAAATCTACACTCATCTCCTGGCTTAATACTAATCTTTGTTATACGTCTTTATATATTTTTTTAAACAGCATTCAACTCTTAGCTATATAATCGCGAAAATCAATCCATTCATAATAACATTTTAGATATCATTCTTTGAGCTTCCAATTCTTATATCATATTTGAAAATTCCACCTAAAATGTTTGTACTGAAACCCACTTCCTAACCTCGACCCACTTTCTAACTTCAAAGAACATAGCTTCACTATCAACAAAACATTAAGAGCTCAAAATATTTTCAATCTCATAATGAGCGCTCACAACCATATGGATTTAAGCATTTAGATTTAACATAAAATGTAGCTTCACGCAACAATAATTCTACTTCTGTGGCCTTTAACATTTAAACGTGATTTTGCACCTCCTCATCGCATCGGTTGCGCCATTAATGCATTTAATGCACTTTTTCTCACGTATAAATAGATATATTTAATTTATTTCACGTCAAAATGTATCTCTAACTTTCTTTAACTTTTTAAACGCGTTAATTTTCATGCCCTTTCATTATCACGAAAGTTCAGTAACCGCCATGTTCGCTCAGCGCTTTGCTCACTTCTTCAAAATTCCATATTTGCACAAAGGCTTTGGATTTAACTTACTCAAGCTCAACGCATCTCACTTTCTTTGTAAATTTTCTATCAAGAAGCGCTTAAGCACGTTTAAAATCACAGCACAGCTACTTCCAACGCCCTTACGCTTTCATTCTTAAACGCTCGCCATGCGTTTTGCAGCACACGTACAAATTCCTCAGTTTATGAGCATCAAAGCAATCAGACAATTAATGACCGATTGGCTTTGAGCAGCAACACAAAGCATGCATACATATGTATGTATATACATATATAACACCAGCGGAATTTGGCGCATTCGAAATCAATTTCACTCACACTAATTTGCCTTATTTGAATTATCCACACACTTTCCTTTGAAATCATTAAATTTCAAATCGGTCTATAAAACTACGAAGCTCAGCTCACCCACGCGCCTGACTGTCCCACTTTTGTAGCAACGCTTGCTTGCTAATTAATTCGCGCTCGAATTTCATTTATCCAATTCTACGCCAACTTTATGCTGATTTCGATAATCTATTTGCTCATTTGTTATTCAAAGAAGTCACCAAAAATTAACAAATCATCGCTACTCAAATTTACCCATTTTCTTTTGCACTTTGCTTCTTAACCGTCTGCATTCCCCACTGCATTTCATCTTCTCTACTGCCACATTTCGAGTTCTACTACTATACTGCTCTCTCACCTGATTTGTTTTTATTGCAAACAAAAATTGTCTCCACATTTCCCATTCACCCGTTGTCACCTCTTAGCAAAACCAAACCAAAACAATCAACTCACCTGCATACACACCTGCTTACTTACAAATAATAACATCGTAAATTTTTAGTGTCATGATACATGTTGTGCATAATGAATGTGAATACCCTGCACTAAAATCAACTAGTTGCAATCTACTTCACAACTAAAAGCAAGCGTTAACGCAACTAATCAGCCAACTGTCTTTTTCATGCAATTAACTGGTACTTGTGGATGGCAACAAATCAGCAACAAATACAAGATTGCGGCACGCAACGGTAACAACAAAACGAACTGTCAAACTTAACAATTTTTTATAATAATTGTAAAGAAAGGTTTAGCATTTCAAAAATAGTAACAGAATGAAATGTAAAAATAAAGGATAACAAATTGCAAATAAATATCAAATACTTCCAAGTACATGTTCTATCTTCAATTGCAACAAAACCATGCAAGATTGTCGCTAATCAAATGCGCATAATCAAGTGTCACCAACAACAAGGTGCAAGAATAACAACAATATCATAGGAACAATCGCAGTAGCGCATTAAACAAGTAAATAAATATACAGTTAAAACATAAAATCTTGTAATATTTTTGCAATACCTATACGAGGCAGATTTGTTCATTTATTAGGGCGCTAGAGTACCGAGTACCCATGAATGTATATCTCTATGTATATGTATATATGTGTAACTTTTTGCATACAAATAAAGCCGGTCAGTGGTGACACTACTAGCGGTGCAAGTAGCTCTTTGAGAATGTTGAGAGTGTTGATTGAAGAAAAGCGTTTACTCAGTTTTAAGCAGTTATTTCACACGCAAAGACATTTTGCCCGCCATTTGCTCGTATTGATACCCTGCAGGTACACTAGAGTTGGGCAAATGCGAAAATATTTAAAGAAAGATTGCAAAATTAAAGAAGAATAGGAGGAACCAGGACGAAGTGATGCAGTTCTGATTTTCCACAATTGAAGAGTGGAATTGTTTTCAAGATTTTGTATCTCGCGAAACTTTATCGGGGCCGCTTTTATAAACTATGTTGACTGAGATATCGTGAGTGAAATCAGAGTTACTAATTTTACTTCTAACAAATCAAATGATACACAGAGTTTCTTGTTGGTATTGTTTATTTACACAATTTTCTTTCTTGCATTCTGGTACCGTTTTAAGGTGGCATTAATGACACTGAAAATACCTACACCATGCATACTGGACGCATTTATACAGGTCCAATAGCGGGCCACTCATTAACATTTAGAGAACAGGTTTTGGTTTTTGTTAATGTAACAGGCTATAATGTGTCTACCCCATTTATGTGCTACGCAAGGTGTTTGCTGCTTTTTCAGCACCTGATATGTATGTATGTGTTGGTCATACTTCAGTATAATATATATTATATTATAATATTTCTCAAATGACATAAAAGGAATATCTCCCATTTAAGACCTACTATATTTGTATATGTATTTTCAATTTCATAGCACTGAAAAAATCTTATATGTAGATTCATAATTTGCCCCAAGGTGCTTAACTGAATTAAAAAGTTGGATTACTATATTGAGGTGGAAAAATTAAACAAAACCTTCGAATTGGAATTGTCACTCAACAGTGGACGCAACTGTAGGTAAACAAAACTATTTATAACTATTGTACCTTGGGCAAAATGTTGAAAAAATATTAAAACACGAAAATTGTCATTACTTTATTTTTGTCGGTCTGGATTCCTTGAAGATAGGAAGAAAGGAAGGAGAAATACGGGTACAAGATTTCAGATGGACTTTTCAAAAACTGCGGGACTAGTTTTCATATATACAGACAGAGGGCCAGAATGTCGTTGTGGTTTACGTGAGTACCTGCCTGCGAAGGCCTAACCTCACGGTGCTTTCTATTGCTAGAAGCACGTAGATCAATACAATGCGTTGATGAGCGCCCCAAAGCATAAATTCATTTTGCATTTAGTTTTTGGTTCCAATTGGTTGCGATGGATAGGGACGCCCTAGCCTCCTTGGTCGGGTTTGAGGCCCATCTAAAACTTCTGCCGTACTTTGGGTCCGGCACCCGGACGCAGTGCGACTCCACATTGGACAAAATGCCCTTCCTGCATTTAGGTTTAAACCACAGCCACCACGAATCTCCACAAAGGGCCAAACCCAAAGAGCAGATTGGAGTTACCTCCAAGGGCTAACTGCCTCCCGTGGTACCAGGTTCAAGTCCTTGATCTGACTTTGCAGCTTTTGCAATTACCAGTTGAGTCCCCCGAAATTCAATGACTGATTGCATTTGTAGCGGTGACAAATGCTTTACATTTTGTGATATAAATATAAAGCTTAGAATTTGACTTCCAGCAGAATATTATAACACTTTTCTTACTTGGCGACTTTTATATTTTTTTGAGTCGCCGGTGTTTCCTGTGGGTGTACCAGTTTAGGGCATACAAATTCTGTTCGAATTCCTCGCCTCTAAATTTGACACAAATTCCGTTTTCTCGTCACTTGCCAATGCGGTCATTATTAACTCTTCTTCTTAATGGTGCGCATAATGAGTCGAGAGCGCGTGCGCAATTGCACAGACAATTAGCTTGTTGCTCGCTCAACGCCAGTAGCTTACTTTTCCCTTTTATTCTCGCCATATAACGAACAAAACGGCGAGACGCTTATTGTATGGTCAAATATTTATAAAAAAAAGCTTCTTTGGCAGAGCATTCCATGCAGGTACAACTATGTATGATTGTATGTATGTACATATGTACGTACGTCGCACGCTTGCTCGAGAAGAATGTATGCCAAAGTTTCGTTGTTATTGGTGCCACACAATGGTGGTGGATTATTTAGCAGAGAACGTTGTTTCCAACTTTTCTCAATTGGAAGATTCATGCCATTTCACTTATATCATTCATATTACAGAATTCAAGTTTGTATAATTGTTTGATTGTATTTTAGTTTTGGCACAAACAAGAATCTCGACTGAGGGCGTTGTATGGATGTGGAATCGAAATAATACATATGTACATTATTTTATTGTTTTTATTGTTTAAATACAATTCGATCGAATTATCAGGAAAGTTGGGTCGCGGTATTATATACATATATAATATTTCAGCTCGTGAATGCTTCGATTTTTGAAATTTCAGGAGATATGTATTCATATCGTCAACAGCGCAAATAACGTTAATACTAATCATTAATTTCATACTAACATTGGCCCAGAGATTATTTATTAATAAGCATTATTATCTAGATCAACAATCGATGATAGATTCCCTAGTAAATTGTTAATCATTTGTCTCTAAATTATCCAAACGAATATGGCATGTTTTCTCGTGGGCTAATTTTATTTTGCACAGTAATGTTTGAAAAGTTAAATCAGATTTGATATTTGCCAGAGCAAACTTTTTGTATGACAAATGCTGCTCTTGCAACAATTTTGGTATTGTTAATCTTTGGATAGCATATAAAATCGAGAGATCTAACAATATTTTAGTATCTCCTCGTGCTACTGTATTTAATGGCATTGCCATGCCGTCGCTTTCATCTTCGGAATGATCAGTACGTACATATTAAACTATAATACACACAGTTAATCGCGAAAATTATTTCCGGGCATAGATAAATTTTCACTCTAAGTGAAAAATTCCTCATCCTAAATGCTGATATTGGCTAGTTACTATATTTACGGCGAAGTTAGGCCCAATGACCTGAAGACATGAGTTTATTTTTACTTATTTCATTCAAGTATAATATGAGTTACTCCACATGAAACGTAAAATATGTATGTGTATATCAAAATTAAGAGTCTCTTGAAGTTCAACTGTCATGACTTTGACATGTTACTATCAAGTGTTGTACCACTTCTTAATGTGGTGAGCAAAGCTACAAAAGTGAGAAATACTCGAAGATACTAGAGCAGTTATTGTCTCTCAGTTGTGCTCCATTTAAATACAAATTCTTTCGTTCCGACGACTTTATTGTTTACCAAAAAAATTTTGACGACTTTCACAGTCGCCAACACCCGTCACCGCACCATCACCGACTCGCCACAGTCCGGCCAAACAACATCTTAATAGGCGAAACTCAGACCACACTACCCACTGTTGATCGTTGCTCGAGCGATGCGCAGCATCCAACCGTCGCCGAAGCGACTGTAAAATGACCAGCGACAATTTATTTCTGTACCGCTTTTAAACGTTTCCATTTTGGCCGAAGCCACACTGCCATTGTTGACGTTTTTATGAAATGCTCATAACTGTGCCGTTAGCGTCGCACCACCATGCCTGCTCAAGTCGCTAGTGTTGTTGGCCTTTTTTTTGGGATTTTAGCTTTAACATATTTTCTTTTGTCATTTATTTCCCCAGCCCGCATCATAACTGAGCGCTACAAAAAAGAAGTGAAATTAATTTTTAAGCATTCCGTATTTTGCTTGTAATTATAAATTTTTATCTTGAAGCAGGTAGGTACTTGCGCATGTGTGGCTGCTCGTATTCACATCCGCACATTCATCCAAGTGAGCAAGAAATTGTGCTTGGTCATTTAGCATTATATACTTTTGCCATTGCCTCAATCCGACCGTTTTAAGTCATGTATTCACGAACGCCTAACTGGTGTGGGGCTTTCTGGATGCTCGAGTGGTGAGAAAAAGCGAAAGTTGTTAAGTGTTGCACTGTCAAGTGGCAGGCTATGAGTTGATGCTGTAGCATAAATGTTCACTACTTAACTATTTCGTACTCGCTAGTGAATTTGAATATGAATAACAGCAAACCGGCGAAATAACCCAGCAGTAAAATGCTTGCGTTTCGTGTCATTAATTCCATACTCCTTACTTACTTAATGCTTTGAACATGATTAAGCTTGTCAATTGCCATTTTTGATATTTACTTAAAAGTGACTAAAAAATATAAATAAAGTCATAAAATTATTTCGTTTAAAAAATATACGTTCTGATGCCATTTATTTTCGATTTTTGAAGGAGTCAGTAATCTCAAAGTTTTGGGCTGTCAAACACATGCAATGGGGAAAAGGCGGCTTTGTTGGAGAATTTCACAAATGTAACTGTACTCAACTTTTCGACACGTCTTATTAAGTTATCAATTTTAGTTCCGTGGCCCACGTAATACAAAAGGTCAAAGAAGCACCCGAAAATTGTAGTTAAATTCCCCGGGTAAATGTTATTTAAAAAAATTTATTTTTTCAAGTTATTAAGACTGGCCTTAATTGCTATACCAAATATGATCGCGACCTGTCAACCAATTTATGTACAGCGGATGCTTAAGAGGCGTTACGATTTTTACAATGAAAAAAAAAAAATAAAATAAAATAAAACAAATAATTGTCTCAAATTTGGGGTTTCTTACCTAAATTCGTATGCGGAATCGCTGCGAATGTTGTAAAAGCATACAGTGATCCAGTTTTATCAGAGACACGA